CTTCCATTACTGCATCCTAAGGTCATATTAGTTCTTCCAGCAGCCACATCACACTGTTAACTAAGATTAAATTTACTGTCAACCAAAATTACTAAAGATCTTTTGCACTTCTTGCTTTGTCCTCCTTTCCCATCTTGAGCTTGATTTTTTTTTTGAAAAGGGGGGCAGAGGGATGCGGATTAAGTGTAGAATTATAATTTATTATTATTTCATCTATTTGAAATATAATAGTTTACTATCCACTAATACAGGGACGAGCGTTCAACATCATTTTGATTTTAAAAACCATTTTAAGAAATACAAAACTTTTATATAAAAAAGAACCTCCTTTATTTTTTATATAAAAAGCACTTCCCCTTTCTGAATGATTTAATCCTAAAGCTATTAGAAAGAACCAAGCAAGATAGGCACGTGCACAAAAATGGGATATTGGAGGCTGTTCAAAGTGAGGAGCGCATTCACACGGTGGAGGGGAGCAAGTGTAGTACAGAGTGTTGGAGCCCATATGGAAGTGAGCAGAACTTCTGAAGAGGAGAGCAGCCAGGTATGGGGTGTTAGAGCCTGAGTGGGGTGATGAAGACATCCACACTACAAGGTGGCCCAATGTAGCATATAAGAGCCTTTGTGGAGCGAGAAGTCATCTACGTTGTAAGGTAGCCTATTACAGAGTGTCAAGCCCAAAGGGGGATAAAAGAGGGCATTCGTACCATGCAGTGAGGTTCTGGAGCCAAGAAGGGTTAGAAAAGTGGCCTGGCATGCAATCAAAGCCCAAGTGAGCTGAAGAGAACATCCCACACAAGGGAGTGACTGATGTAAGATGCCAGGGCCCAGACCAGGTTATCTGCAAATAGGGAAGTACAGAGAGAGTGAAAAGACAACAGCACAGGACAGATTGAGAGCCTAGGTGGGGTGAAGGGGTATCTGTCAGGGAGGGGACAATGAGAGAAATGGAAGACCGGTTACATGCAGGGGGATTAATGAGATAAGTAAGGAAGGATAAGAGAACCAACCAAGTTCTCATTCATGAAGAAGGGGTTTATCAACAGAAAGAGAAAAAACTAGAATAAACCCTGTTCACTCTGTATTAGAATTGGAAGTGTCAGTATGAATTTATGATTTGTATATGTGTGAAGACAGAGAAATAAATACAGATGTAAATATGTTTATGTATGTATGTGTATGTTATGTACATATATCCCCTTATTGAGAAGGCTCAGATATAGAAGCATTCCATAGCAATGAGCACACCCAATACAAGAACTGGTGTATTGGGTGTGCTCAATATATCAATCTGGTTTCTTTCTCTCTCTTTTTTTTTTTAGATCTATTTATTTGAGAGAGCATGCACAAGGCGGGGAGGGGCAGAGGGAGAGAGAGAAACTCGAGCAGAGTCCCCGCTGAGCAGGGAGCCTGATGTGGGGCTCGATCTCACAACCCTGAGACCACAACCTGAGCCGAAATCAAGAGTCAGATGCTTAACCAACCAAGTCATCCAGGCACCTCACAAGATCTGGTTTTTAACTACTATTCTCCACTACAATATACCCGATCTTAGAGAAATGGGGCACAGAATATTGTGCCAGAACAAAAGAAATTGCTCAAATAATCACAGAGACTGTCAAAAGGTAATAGTGTCAACTGGAGGGGACTCCCACTGGCCAAATCTGAGGCAATTTGAGCACCGACACAAATGATGATAATAACAGATTTAAAGTAGGTAAGTAAAACAGTAAACTCTGAGTCCATGCTGATATTAATAATTTTGAATAAAATGAAAGAGACTTTTCAGTGGAGAAGTTTGGGAGATACTACCTTAATCATATAATAGAAGTAAACATCATCAGTAATGGGACAAAATACAAATCATGTATCCCAAATAGTAAGATACAATGACAAGCAGAGAACATCACTTCTGTGCTACTTTTCCTGAAGATGTATAATCTGAAGTTACTCGTGAAGATCAAAGAAATGGAAATTAAGGGACATTCTTTAAAATAACTGGCCTATAATCTTCTAAAGTGCCGAGTCAAATAAAAAGTGAAGAAATGGGGCACCTGGGTGGCTCAGTTGGTTAAGCGACTGCCTTCAGCTCAGCTCATGATCCTGGAGTCACAGGATCGAGTCCCGCATCGGGCTCCCTGCTCG